CGACCTTGTGCATTTCTGCTGCTAGTTGGTTCCAACTTAGATCCATGAGAATCTCATTTTAAAACACCTGCAAAGCCCTTTCCTGTGTGCTCCAACTAGTGGACAACTTCCTTCCACTGAGGGTGATAAAGTTGTTTTTTAGTTGAATTTTTTTTAACAGATTGATTTTTAGAGCAGTTTTAGGTTTAAGTTACAGAGTTAAGTGATTTTAAAGAACACTTTAAAAGTCATCTAAAGGGCAGGAATTGGGTAATTTTTATATTTGTGTTCTCAGCCTCAAAAATATGTACATTAATAATACAGTAACATTTTTTTAATGTGCCAAGATCTTTACATTCATTAATTCAATTAGTTCTCAGAAGCTTCTATGTAGTACTATTGTTGTCTATTTTATACGTGAAGAAACTAAGGAATAAAAAAGTAATTTGTCCAGATTTACATAAATATAATCAGGATTTGAACTCATGATCTGGCTTAAAAGGTGGGACTTTTAACACTGATGAATGAATGTATCTAGAAACTGAGAGAGAGGGGATAATGAATATTTCTATCTTCATTGTATTTGGTTTATATGTCCCATTTACAAATGACTTTCCAGAATGTTCAGAAACCTAAATTAAATATAACTTACCTAAAGATAATTCATGCATTCCTACCAGATTAATCTAAGCCATGTGAAGCTTGTGGTCTCTTTCTAGAAGAGTGAAAAATATCTTACTATTGTGCTGGATTATTATAATTGCTGAAGTCTTAACCTTCTGGAAGAAATTCGACTTCTTGTCTAAAATCACACTGTGATGGCAACTCTTGCACTTTCCTTGGTAAAACTACAAAATTGTTGACTTAGAATAATGATGGCCATTATGGGAAAATTTTGATATGCCATTTGTATGTAACAAAAGGATAAGAACTTGGAAACAGAATACACCCTGAAAGAGGACTATCATTTACTGTGGAACTAGAAAAAGAGCTATTGAGTCTGCTTTCTTCAAAGAATCCACAACAGGATGCACTAATATCATAACTCATG